CCTCCAGCCTCGGCCTCCCTAAAGGCTAGGATAACAGGTTTGAGCCACCTCGAAAGGCTCTCACCTCCCTGCTGCCTTTCTGAGTAACTGAAGTTTTTTCAGACTTTGTTCGCAATCATTGAGAACTACTTAAGTTTTAATAGTTCCACTTACTCAGCACTGTGTGCAAGACCCCGTGGTGAGAATTTCCTGTGAGTTTATTATTCCCAAATTCGCAAACTTGTCAGATGGGATTATTGTGTACATAACGAACAGTCACACTGGGGCAAAGGCTCAAAAACCATCACAAGGTGGGAAGGGACCTGAGACTCAGAGGCCTCCCTGGTCCCCAAATTGATCCTCCCACCCGACTTTTCGTACTACAAAGTGACAGGTCCGGATAGAAGCAGCAAAGCCAAGTAACTGCGAGCGGCTGCGGGTCCAGCCAGCCACCTGCGTCGGAATCCTGGCTCCGCCACTTCCTAGCTTTGTAAACCCAGTCATATCAGCCTCCGAGCACCTCAACTTGGTCACCTACTCAATGGGGGCGGTCGGCTATGACTCTGACCCATCCCTGCTCTCCTGGCCCCCAGAGTACGCCCCCAGTATCGGGAGTTGCCCCCTCCAGGCAGCCGCAGACCCCCTGCCGCCCTCCAGCGTGCCCCTAGGCCGCGACTACAGCGGATGGCAGCGGATTGCCCAGCCCCGAACGCCGCAAAGCGGGCTCACCATGATGGCGCCTCCTGCTCGGCCAGGTCCGGAAAGAGAGAACAGTACCGGGGTGGGCGGGGAAAGCCTCCAGCGAGTGGCGCCGCCGTGACGTCACATGGGTGCGACGCGGCGCTCTACCACGATCCGGACTTCTCTGTGGTGAGTTGGACGACTGACTAGTCAGGCGACAACCTCAGAGAGCATAGAGCAGAGGAACAAGCGCAACGTCCAAGAGGGAAGGGCCAGCACGTCGGGGGCCTCTCTGGCCCTACCCGGGCCGTGTTCTCGATAGTTTTCCGGAAGAAAGGGATCTAGGAGCGAGATGTGTGGAGCTAGCACGACGCGTCGCGCTGTGACGCTCTGGCCCGACGCCGACGGCCTCTCAGTGGCTCGCGGAGGACCCGGCGGGCCGAGTGTTGGAGGTGAGGAGGCGGGGCTGGCAGGGCTAGTCGGGGCATCTGGAAACCTCTGACCCCACGCTTCGGGCGTTTCCTTATCAGGTTCACTTCTCCCTTATCTCGCGCTACACTTCGTAGGCGCAGCCGCTGCTTGGGAAGTCCTACTTAAGGTCTAACCCGAGATGATCTTGCTGCACCTCAATCTATAGCATCCTGTATTCCCATCCTTTGAGTTCCGCTTCTCCTTCTCCCCCGGCCCCCACATGGCCCTTTGCTGACCTAGAAAGAGACCTAGAAAGTGGGAGGCCCCGTGGCTTGGGGGTGGGGGGAATGGAGGCCCAAAGGGTAGGAAGGAGACCCAGGGAGAAGTAGAGGCAAAGAAAGATGGTGAGATGGGGCCTTGGAAGGCTGTAATCAAATTCAAATCCTGGCTCTGCTAGGTACTAATGGGGTGACCTTGGGCAAGTCACTTAACCTTTCTGTGATCTTGGGAAAATCACTTAACTTCTCTGGGCCTTGCTCTCCTTATGGACAAACAGGGGATGACAACAGGCCTGGCACACAGGAGGTTTTCCAGGATTATGAAAGTTAATAAAACTGCTGAGGTCAGTGTTTTGCACATAATAAGTGCTCAATAAAAATTAGCCTTCACTCCTATTATAGCATACATATTGTGTGCAACCAGATGGACTGGCTGGGGCAGTGATTAAAATGACTTACCTACTCTTCCCCGGCACCCCCCGCGGGGAGGCCCCTGTCTCTTGGCACATTGAGCCTGGAAGGGCCTCCTGCAGTCGACTCTCAATGCTGCTCCTCACTCACATCTCCTCCACAGAGCTGAAGGTCAGAGCTGAAGTGAGACCTGACTCCTTGCTCCTACCAGCCTACTATGGCTTAAGACCCAGGCCCAGGGCCCCATTGATGTAACAGAGCAGAGGACCAGCAGATGAATGGACTCCTTGAAGCAGAGGAGCAGGACCAGGTAAGGGACCATCTAAAAGCCAAGATCCTCATACTGTGGAAAGACAAAATCCAAAGCTTTTCTTCTTCTTCTTTTTTTTTTTTTTTTTTTTTTTTTTTTGAGACGGAGTCTTGCTCTGTCGCCCGGGCTGGAGTGCAATGGCCGGATCTCAGCTCACTGCAAGCTCCGCCTCCCGGGTTTACGCCATTCTCCTGCCTCAGCCTCCCCAGTAGCTGGGACTACAGGCGCCCGCCACCTCGCCCGGCTAGTTTTTTGTATTTTTTAGTAGAGACGGGGTTTCACTGTGTTAGCCAGGATGGTCTCGATCTCCTGACCTCGTGATCCGCCCGTCTCGGCCTCCCAATGTGCTGGGATTACAGGCTTGAGCCACCGCGCCCGGCCCTTTTTTTTTTTTTTAAAAAAAGATTGGAGGCCGGGCGTGGTAGCTCACGCTTGTAATCCCAGCACTCTGGGAGGCCAAGGCCTGCGGATCACCTGAGGCCAGGAGTTCGAGCTCAGCCTGGCCAACATGGTGAAACCCCGTCTCTACTAAAAATACAAAAGTTAGCCGGGCATGGTGGTGTGCGCCTGTAATCCCAGCTACTCAGGAGGCTGAGGCAGGAGAATCGTTTGAACCCGGGAGGCAGAGGTTGCAGTAAGCTGAGATCGCACTGCACTCCAGCCTGGGCGGCAGAGTGAGAAAAAATAGGGTCTCACTCTTGCCCAGGCTGGAATGCAGTGGCGCAATCACAGCCTACTGCAGCTGCAACCTCCTGGGCTTAAGTGATCTTCCCACCTCAGCTTCCCAAGTAGCCTCCACCATGCCTGGCTAATTTTTAAATTTTTATTTATTTTATTTTATTTTATTTTATTTTATTTTATTTTGAGGCGGAGTTTCACTCTTGTTGCCCAGGCTGGAGTGAAATGGCACGATCTCGGCTCACTGCAACCTCCACCTCCCGGGTTCAGGCAGTTCTCCTGCCTCAACCTCCCAAGTAGCTGGGATTACACACATGCGCCGCCATGCCCAGCTACTTTTGTATTTTTCCTAGAGACGAGGTTTCTCTATGTTGGTCAGGCTGGTCTCAAACTCCTGACCTCAGGTGATACACCCGCCTCGGCCTCCCAAAGTGCTGGGATTACAGGCATGAGTCACTGCACCCGGCTAATTTTTTTATTTTTTCTGGAGACTGGGTCTCTGTTGCCTAGGCTGGTCTTGAACTCCTGGGCTCAAGGGATCCTCCCACCTCAGTCTCTCAAAGTGTTGAGCTTACAGGCATGAGCCACCGCGCCCAGCCCGGAAGCCCTTCTATAAGTGATCTCAGACCTTCTCTCCAGGCAGGTGTTGCAGTGGGATAATTCAGGAATCAGAGAGACCGAGGGGTTGAGGAGGATACTTATTATTTATTATTTAGGTGCACCGACCCGGTCAGATTAACATCCAAACAAAGACTGAGCCCCGAACAAAGAGTCAGGTTAGCTTTTAAGCATTTTGTGGGGCTGGGGGAGATCTGTGCACGGGGAAGCATGTTAGAGAAGAGAGAAACAAAGAGTTATTCAATTGAGTCATACATTACATTATTTCTTGCATTTCAAGGAAAAACATGTTTTACGACTTGAGTTTATCCCGTCTAGTGATCTTGCAGCTGCACAGCTAGAGAAACAGGGTCTTCACAATGCCTGGGAAAGGGAGAGATAAGGCTCATTAGCCACAGACAGAAAAACAGGCAGGACTCGACCTCTTTCTCTTTCTCAGGGGGAACTGGGTTTTTTACATACAACTGAGTTTTTGCTTACACATTCTTTAATTTCTTTTAATTCCTGTTTCAGTGTGAATAGCTTTCTTCCCATGTCCCAGACAGGACAGCTGAGGCCAAGAATTCAGGGGCTTCCCAGCAGCCACACAGCAAGTCTGTGTGAGCTGCCGGGTCCTTTCGCCTTTTCCTCCTCCCTGTCCTCTCGTCTTTGTGACTTAGGCTCTGTGTTTGAATCTCAGCCTCTTTGCTCCGTGTCTCTGCCTTTCCTTCTCCCAGGGCCCCAAGCTCAGTTGCTGTGCCCCCTGTCTCAGTCTTACTGGGTTTCTGTCCCCCTTTCTCTCCGTGTCATTCCTTGGCACATACTATCTGGTGCCGTTGCTGCTGTGGGTTGGATGCTAGGTACATGATTTGACGATAAGCAAACTTCTTCCTATATTTATCTTTTTTTTTTTTTTTTTTTTTTTGAGACAGAGTCTTGCTCTGTCACCCAGGCTGCAGTGCAGTAGAACGATCTCGGCTCACTGTAACCTCCACCTCTTGGGTTCAAGCAGTTCTCCTGCCTCAGCCTCCTGAGTAGCTGGGATTACAGGCGCATGCTACCACACCTGGCTAATTTTTGTATTTTTAGTAGAGACGGGGGTTTCAGCCCAGTGTGGTGACTCAACGCCTGTAATCCCAGCACTTTGGGAGGCCGAGGCGGGCAGATCACGAGGTCAGGAGATCAAGACCATCCTGGCTAACACGGTGAAACCCCGTCTCTGCTAAAAATATAAAAAAATAGCCGGATGTGGTGGCATGTGCCTGTAGTCACAGCTACTCCGGAGGCTGAGGCAGAAGAATCGCTTGAACCACGGAGGCGGAGGTTGCAGTGAGCTGAGATCGCGCCACTGCACTCCAACCTGGTGACAGAGCCAGACTACATCTCAAAAAAAAAAAAAAAGAGACAGGGGTTTCACCATGTGGGACTCCTGACCTCGCAATCCACCCGCCTCAGCCTCCCAAAGTGCTGGGATTACAGACGTAAGCCACCTCGCCCAGCCTACAGCCTACATTTGTCACTTTCTAGCCAGCTCTGTCCTTGTCTCCTAATGCATATCTCTTTCTCTCTATGCAATTCTGTTTCTAGGTCCCTTGATATATACTTGCCTTTCTTTCACTTTCGCCATGTCTTTGCCTTGGTGAGTCTGGCAACATCTTAACTTTCTGTCCCAGTTCCTCCCAGCCCCTGGGCTTCCAATATTCTCTCCCTCCCTCACCTTTGACCTAGAAATACTGTCCCCATCTCTCTATGTCTCTGTCTTCCCATGTGACTGGGTCATTCACTGGGCAGATGTTTATCTCATGGCGCTTCCATTCTGGTTTGAGCCTGAGGTAAATAAGTCTGAATTAATGAGCCTCTCCTTCCCAGCTTCCATTCCAGAAGTGTCTGTCTCCATCTGTCTCCGTGTCTGTCATTTTCAGGGTTTTCTTGTATCCTTACCTTGCACATTCTCAATTCCACTGTTGTGGTCTCTTGTTTATATCTCTGCTTTTCTCTGGGTCTCTCTGACTCTGTAACTGTTAGAAAATAAACGTATCTTTCACTTTCCCCACTCTCTCCTCCCAGCTCTCTTATTGCCTCATCCAGCCTCTCTGGGTCTCTGCCTTGCTCTATGTCTGGATCTCTGGGCCTTTGTTACGCGTGTTAGAGTCTCTGTCTTTGCAGCTAAAGACCTCCTCCCTCACGCCCCTTTCTTTTGTGAATTCAATGGATGGGACAGGCCCACTTTCCCTTAACAAAGATGGCGACAACGGCGCTGTCTATGGGGCCGCGACGTCGTCACCACTGCGCGTCTGCCCTCACCTACGATGGCGGCCAGGCTCCCGAAGCGCGAGGCCCCGCCCAGTTCTCGGCCTCTCCCGCGGCCAGTCCCTGCGCCAAGCTCGCGAGCTGACTGGCTCCACCCCCTGAGCCCTCGTATTGGTGCGGCCCAGGCCGGCTGCACGGCCATTGGCTGAGCGGATGCACACCCTCCCCCCCACCCCTAGGTCTGATGGGGACTGTTGGTGCTGACTTGCGGGGCCGCCTGGAGGAGGACCCGGCGTGTGAGGAGGGTGCGGGGGTCGGGGCAGGGACCGGAGTCTAGGGGACTGAGGGACCAAGAGGACGCAGGCCTGGGACTGGGGCACCGGGGTGGGAGATGGAAATGAAAAACCTGGGCCAGGACTGAACCCAGGCCTGGGACTGAGTTCTGGAAATAGGGTGCGGATGGCGGCTCAGAGGACCAGGGCCAGACACGCAGGCCTATGGATTAGGGACCAATGGATGGAGACCCAGGTCCAGGTCTCAGTGACCCAGGGACAGAGACCCAGGCCCAAGACTGGAGAACATCTAGGGCTCTATGCTTGAGCCTGATTTGAGGTTCCCATAATGGGGCTAGGGCAGGTTTAGGGGTGAGGCAGACATCCTAGACCGAGGGAGCCGCTGGGGGTAGGGGAGCAGATGTAGTTCCTAAGGGTGAGTCCACAGGCGGGACGGGGAGGGGGTGTCCTGGCGCTCTGGGTCTGGGGAATGTGAGGGGCAGAACTGGCAGGTGGCTGGGCGGGGCAGTGGGGAACAAAGGTGATCGAAGAGAGGAGGAGGCAAAGTCCGGGCAGAGGGCAGGGAGAGGGCCTGGGGGGAAGGGACCTCAGTCGTGCTCCCACCTGCTCCCTGGAGAGCAGGCGGCCAGGCACCCAGGTCAGTGCTCAGGGACCAGCTCTTGGCCCCTGCCCCTTGCAGGTGCTTGCATGTGGCTCCTCTCAGACCCCGCAGTCCCTCTGTCATATCCCTTCTCTCCAGCTGTCCCCATGCCTGCCTCCTACCCCTCCTATTTGCTCTCCCTTCCACTCTGTCTTGCCTTTCTTGTTGGGGTGAGGAAGTCTTACTCTCTTAAGTATCTTTCATCAGCCTGGGTTTCACCTCATTGACCCTGTTTGTCTCCTCTCAGTGTTTCTCTGGCTCTCAGACCGTATCGCTATTGCATTTGTGATTGTTTTGCTGTTATTACCCTCCGCACCATGTGGTGGCAGGGGATGGAGGGGGTGTGTCTTTCAGTCTTTGCATGTCTGTTTCTGCATATTCCAATCCCACTATCCATTCCCCTTCCTGTGCCTTCTTTTCCCCCAAAGCCCGTTATCATCACCCAACCCCCTGTATATTTTAATCCTTTCTCTTGTTTATCTGTTCCTGTGAAGGCAAGGATTTGGGGCTGTTTTGTTTCCTGCTGTGTTTGCTAGGCCTAGCACCGTGATTGGCACATACAGGGTACTGAATACGTACTGGGGAATAAATGATTGAATGTTTGCATGCCCGGGTCTCCGGCCCCCTCCAGGATGCTGGCCTTCCTGCCCAGCTGGCCTCTGCCCTGCATCCTCAAGGTCTGCCCGCACCTGTCAGAGCCTGTCTGTCTCTGGTGCTCCTGTCTCACCTGCCACTGCCCCTCATTGTCTCCTCCTGTCCACAGCCCCTGCCCCTGCCATGGGGTCCTGAACTCTTACTCCTTCTCTCCTCCCTTTCCACAGAGGCCGGAACAGGAGCTGACCAGGAGCTGGGGCCACAGGCCTAGGAGCACCCTGGTCAGGGCTAAGACCATGGCCCCGCCCCCACCGCCACTGGCTGCCAGCACCCCGCTCCTCCATGGCGAGTTTGGCTCCTACCCAGCCCGAGGCCCACGCTTTGCCCTCACCCTCACGTCGCAGGCCCTGCACATACAGCGGCTGCGCCCCAAACCCGAAGCCAGGCCCCGGGGTGGCCTGGTCCCGTTGGCCGAGGTCTCAGGCTGCTGCACCCTGCGAAGCCGTAGCCCCTCAGACTCAGCAGCCTACTTCTGCATCTACACCTACCCTCGGAGCCGGCGCGGGAGCCGGCGCAGAACCACCCGCACCTTCCGGACAGATGGGGCTACCACCTACGAAGAGAACCGTGCCGAGGCCCAGCGCTGGGCCACCGCCCTCACCTGTCTGCTCCGAGGACTGCCGCTGCCCGGGGATGGGGGTGAGGCGCTGGGCAGCTGCTCTGTCCTGGGGCCACCTTGGTGTCTCTGCAGAATTTCCTCCATAGGCAGCTGTGTCTATTTTTCTGTGTCTGGGTGATGTATCTCTCTGGATCCGTTAGGAGTGATACACAGAGATGGGCTACAGAAGGAACAAAAAGACAGAGGGCCGGGTGTGGTGGCTCACGCCCGTAATCCCAGCACTTTGGGAAGTTGAGGCGGGCGGATCACCTGAGGTCAGGAGTTTGAGACCAGCCTGGCTAACATGGTGAAACCCCGTTTCTACTGAAAATATAAAAAATTAGCTGGGTGTGATGCCACACACCTGTAATCCCAGCTATAGGAAGGTGAGGCAGGAGAATTGCTTGAACTCAGGAGGCAGAGGTTGCAGTGAGCCAAGATTGTGCCATTGCACTCCAGCTTGGGCAACAAGAGCAAAACTCTGTCTCAAAAGAAAAAAAAAAAAAAAGCACAGGCAGAGGTCGGGTGCAGTGGCTCACGTCTATAATCCCAGCACTTTGGGAGGCTGAGGCAGGTGGATCACTTGAGGTCGGGAGTTTGAGACCAGCCTGGCCAACATGGCGAAACCCCGTCTCTACTAAAAATACAAAAATTAGCCGGGAGTGGTGACGGATACCTGTAATTTCAGCTATTTGGGAGGCTGAGGCAGGAGAATCACTTGAATCTGGGAGGCAGAGGTTACAGTGAACCGAGATCACACCATTGCACTCAAGCCTGGGCAACAAGAGCGAAAGTCTGTCACAAAAAAACAGAACAAAAAGGCAGACAGAGAAGTGATTTACATCTGCTGTTCTCTTGCTAGATTTATGTTTCTGTCTCCTGCCCTCTTCCCCTTTGCATGGGTCTTGACCACAGATGAGTCACCCAGGCTGGTGAGAGCAGCAGCCTGAGACAGGACCAGGCACCACCCAGAGTGATGGGTGCCAACAGAGGTCTCCTACGGCTTCCCTGGAGTTCAGAGGTGGCATCTAATCCTGCCTGGGGCCCCTAAGGGCTGGAAGTAAACTGATCCTGGGTGATAGGTGTTCGGGGTGAGGAAAGTGGGAACCACAGCTCCGAACTACAGCTCTCGTGCCCTCCTCCCACAAGTGGGGACAAAGGGCATTTGGTTTCACACCTAAGCTCTGCCTTTGTCTCAGCACCTGGGTGGTGGGGCAGGGCTGCATACCTAGGCCTGGCCAGATGAGAGCCAGCAGGTGCCAGGTGCTAGCCCTCCACCAATTCTGTAGGGGGCTGTTTGAAGGGACTGTTTCCAAGGTGGGGGTCCTGGGTCGCTGGTCTCTGCAGACCCTAACCTCTCTCCACAGAGATCACCCCTGACCTGCTACCTCGGCCGCCCAGGTTGCTCCTATTGGTCAATCCCTTTGGGGGGCGGGGCTTGGCCTGGCAGTGGTGTAAGAACTACGTGCTTCCCATGATTTCTGAAGCTGGGCTGTCCTTCAACCTCATCCAGACAGGTAAGGGCCAGTGAGAATGGGAGCTGGGGGCTGGGAAAACTGAGTCCTAAGGGAGCAAAGTGGTGGGTGGGACTCCTGGGGCTATGGGGCTGGGGTGGGACAGCCTTCCTAACGGCCCGGTATCCCACTTCAGAACGACAGAACCACGCTCGGGAGCTGGTCCAGGGGCTGAGCCTGAGTGAGTGGGATGGCATCGTCACGGTCTCGGGAGACGGGCTGCTCCATGAGGTAGAGCAGGAGCACCCTGCCCCTAACCCTGGGCCCTGGGGCACTGCAGAGGCTGCCACCAGGACCCAGGCTTCTGGACTCCCCACCCTCCAGGTGCTGAACGGGCTCCTAGATCGCCCTGACTGGGAGGAAGCTGTGAAGATGCCTGTGGGCATCCTCCCCTGTGGCTCGGGCAATGCGCTGGCCGGAGCAGTGAACCAGCACGGGGGGTAGGTTGAGAATACCACCAAGGGAGGGATGAGCCCCTCCTGGGGTGATAGGGACCCCTATATCTCACTCAGGCAAACCCACAGTCAAGTAAATCAGCCTGCCTGGCTCCCAGCTGTATCCCTAGTGCCCAAAACTCTGCCTGGCATGGGAGGCACTCAGTGAATTGTAGGGAGCAAATGAAAGAGATGACCGGGAACCTGGCCCCGTAAGGAATTGCCTAGAGGTGGCCCCGCGGCTGTGGTGGGCCTGGGCCATGGCCTTCCTGGCCTCATTGCCACCTGCTTCCCTGCCTGTCTCTTTCCCCTACCCCTATTTACTCCTTCTGTGTGTCTCTCCCATCTCTGGCGGTGAAGATTTGAGCCAGCCCTGGGCCTCGACCTGCTGCTCAACTGCTCACTGTTGCTCTGCCGGGGTGGCGGCCACCCACTGGACCTGCTCTCCGTGACGCTGGCCTCGGGCTCCCGCTGTTTCTCCTTCCTGTCTGTGGCCTGGGGCTTCGTGTCAGATGTGGATATCCAGAGCGAGCGCTTCAGGGCCTTGGGCAGTGCCCGCTTCACACTGGGCACGGTGCTGGGCCTCGCCACACTGCACACCTACCGCGGACGCCTCTCCTACCTCCCCGCCACTGTGGAACCCACCTCGCCCACCCCTGTCCATAGCCTGCCCCGTGCTAAGTCAGAGCTGACCCTAACCCCAGACCCAGCCCCGCCCATGGCCCACTCACCCCTGCATCGTTCTGTGTCTGACCTGCCCCTGCCCCTGCCCCAACCTGCCCTGGCCTCCCCTGGCTCACCAGAACCCCTGCCCATCCTGTCCCTCAACGGTGGGGGCCCAGAGCTGGCTGGGGACTGGGGTGGGGCTGGGGATGCTCCACTGTCCCCGGACCCACTGCTGTCTTCACCTCCTGGCTCTCCCAAGACAGCTCTACACTCACCCGTCACTGAGGGGGCCCCCGTAATTCCCCCATCTTCTGGGCTCCCACCGCCCACCGCTGATGCCCGGGTAGCGGCCTCCACCTGCGGCCTGCCTGACCACCTGCTGCCTCCGCTGGGCACCCCACTGCCCCCAGACTGGGTGACGCTGGAGGGGGACTTTGTGCTCATGTTGGCCATATCGCCCAGCCACCTAGGCGCTGACCTGGTGGCAGCTCCGCACGCGCGCTTCGACGACGGCCTGGTGCACCTGTGCTGGGTGCGTAGCGGCATCTCGCGGGCTGCGTTGCTACGCCTTTTCCTGGCCATGGAGCGTGGTAGCCAGTTCAGCCTGGGCTGTCCGCAGCTGGGCTACGCCGCGGCCCGTGCCTTCCGCCTAGAGCCGCTCACGCCGCGCGGCGTGCTCACGGTGGACGGGGAGCAGGTGGAGTATGGGCCGCTACAGGCACAGATGCACCCTGGCCTCGGTACACTGCTCACCGGGCCTCCTGGCTGCCCAGGGCGGGAGCCCTGAAACTCAACAAGGTTGGAACCCGCCGGGGGCGGGGCCTACATTCCAATGGGGCGGAGCCTGAGCTAGGGGTGTGGCCTGGCTGCTAGAGTTGTGGTGGCAGCCCGCAAGTGCAAGGGCCCTGGCCCCGTCTCAGGATTGCGCCCGCCTTCATGGGACCAGACGTGATGCTGGAGAGTGGGCGTCGTCACGAGGGTAGTGCCTGATCAATGAGGGCGGGGCCTGGCGTCTGATCTTGGGACGCCCTTAAGGGGCAGGGCTTAGTCCTGAAGCTAGCCACCTGCTCCTACCCGGCCAGGCTGGCTGAGGGCGGAGCCTGTTTTACGCGTCGCCCAATGACAGGACCTGGAATGTACTGGCTGGGGTAGGCCTCAGTGATTCGGCCCTTCAGGGCCCGCAGCCTCGCCCCATCCACTCCGGTGCCTCCATTTAGCTGGCCAATCAGCCCAGGAGGGGCAGGTTCCCCGGGGCCGGCGCTAGGATTTGCACTAATATTCCTCCCCCCGCGGGTGGGGGCGGGGAAATTCATATCCCCTGTTCGTCTCATGCGCGTCCTCCGTCCCCAATCTAAAAAGCAATTGAAAAGGTCTATGCAATAAAGGCAGTCGCTTCCTTCCTCTCAGACCTTCTGCCCTTCCTCCATCCGACAGCCCGCGGGAGGACTCAGACTCCAGCACTTCCAGCAGCGCCTGCCCTCTATGGACGGCAGCCCGGAGCTGCCCACGGGCTGTAGCCAGTATGCCAGGGAGCTGCCCTCCTCTTCCACAACAGCTGGCTCTGGGGTTCTCAAGATTTATTCAGGATCGTGTTAACGGAGGCGGTGGGAGGATGGGGTCCCTGACGTGCCGGGGACACACAGAGGACCCTCCCCGCCCCCGCAAGGGAGGGGGGAGGTTCGCTTTTTCTTAAAAATATAAATGTATTTATCTGCATTATCACGTCCCTGGGGCACCCAGCTGGCCGGCCCGTGGGCCACAGGGCAGGGAGGGAACAGGGCGTAAGTCTCAGCAAGGCGGAGGAGAGCTCCGCCAGGTGGGGATGTGGGGCAGCCTCACAGGGCCCCGTGTTGGGCCTGGTATCGAGACAGCACGGCGCGGTAGTGGGACAGCTCCTGGCGCACAGCCACCACTTCCTGCCGCAGCAGGGCGTTCTCCTTCTCCAGGAAGGCCGCCCGCACCGATATCTGGTTCTCCTTGAGCCGCCGGGCGTCCCGGGACCGCTTGGCTGCCTCGTTGTTCTTGTACCGGCGGCTCCAATATTTCTCGTCCTGGGGGAGGAAAGGGGGAGGACACTGAGGTCCAGAGGGACCCAGGTCCCAGCGAGAGAGTAAGGGAGCCACAGCAGCGGGGCCTAAACCATACCAGGTCTCTGCTGGGATAGATACCCATGGGTCTGCCTTTCTAGGGCCCTGGTTGCTAAGGAGATTGGGCCCCTAGCAACAGTAAAGACACGAGATAGACCCCCACCCTTAAGCAACTCACTTTAAGTCTCCATTCTGCAAAGCAGGGCCCCAGCCCTCTCCACATGATAAAGGGCCTGCAGTTAGCTCCTGCTTGCTAAGGATGCTTGTTCCCTAGCAACAAGGCCTTCATGGTCTGAGGGCTTCTCCCGTTGAAAAGCACTGCCCTGCACATCGCCTTTCCAGATCTTGGTTGCTAAGGAAATCTTGGTGCCCTGGTGATGGGGTTTGGTGTCCCATAAAATCCTCCCAGAGCTGGAGCCTTCTGACCTGGTTGCCAAGGCAACCTCATCCATCCTTGGCAAACAATAGTGAGGTCTAAGTGGTTTCAATGGCTGTGGCCAGTCTCTGACCTGCTGGCCTTGAACTGAGGCCAGAGAATAGCCTCCTCCCCACCAGGACCTGACTGAGAGAAGAGCTGTCCCTTAGGAAAGGGGACTATCCTGAGACCTCCCCAGAGGATTATACCTGAAGTCCTCCCATCCTGGAAGTTGGTTCCTAAGGAGGACTCCTCCTTAGTAACTAAGGACCACTGGGCTCAGAGAGATGCTCTCCACTCCACCATTTAATTAAAGCCCAGTTCCTGCTTGTGAGGGTAAATCCAGTCCTAAGCAATAGGGCCCTCTAGCAGGAGAAACCACTGGTGTAGATTTGACTTATAGACCCGTCCTAGCTGCTTCAAGTAGCTATGTCTTGCACGAGGGTATGGCAAAGTCTTGTTTTTTGAGATGGAGTCTCACTCTGTCACTCAGGCTGGAGTGCAGTGGCATGATCTTGGCTCACTGCAACCTCCACCTCCTAGGTTCAAGCGATTCTCCTGCCTCAGCCTCCTGAGTAGCTGGGATTATAGGTGCCTGCTACCGTGTCTGGCTAATTTTTTTTTTTTTTTTTTTTGAGATGGTGTCTCACTTTGTTGCCCAGGCTGGAATGCAATGTCACAATCTCAGTTCACTGCAAGCTCCGCCTCCGCCATTCTCCTGCCTCAGCCTCCCGAGTAGCTGGGATTACAAGTGTCTGACACCATACCTGGCTAATTTTTTTTATTTTTAGTAGAGACGGGGTTTCACCATGTTAGCCAGGATAGTCTCCATCTCCTGACCTGGTGATCTGCCCGCCTCGGCCTCCCAAAGTGCTGGGATTACAGGCATGAGCCACCACACCTGGCCTGTTTGTTTTTGTTTTTGAGATGGAGTCTTGCTCTATCACCAGGCTGGAGTGCAGTGGCACAGTCTCTCTCGGCTCACTGCAACCTCCGTCTCCCAGGTTCAAGCGATTCTCCTACATCAGCCTTCCAAGTACCTGGGCTACAGACACGTGCCACCGTGCCCAGCTAATTTTTGTATTTTTAGTAGAGACGGGGTTTCACCATCTTTGCCAGGATGGTCTCCTGATCCCGTGATCCACCAGCCTCGGCCTCCCAAAGTGCTGGGATTACAAGCATGAGACACTGCACCCAGAAAATGTCTGTACTTTTAGTAGGGGCGAGATTTCACCATGTTGGCCAGGCTGGTCTCAAATTCCTGACCTCAAGTGATCCGCCCACCTCAGCCTCCCAAAGTGCTGGGATTACAAGGCGTGAGCCATTGCGCCTGGCCTGGAATGACAAAGTCTTGTAACAGAAGCCCAAGCAACTCTTGCTAGGGAAGACTCCAGTAATGGCCAAAAAAAAAAAAAAAGGATGCAAAGATGCAATCACTGCTCAAATCATCCCAAATCAGAAAGTGGCCCTGGCTGTTAACAGAAGCTGAAGCCTCCCACCAGTGAGAAGCCCAGGCCCAGGAAACAAGTCCTAAAGGGGCTGGCCGAGTCTGCATCCTAGCCAAAGGCAATCACTCCAAAGGAAGTCCCACATCAGAGATCAAAGGCCTGCTGAGTAAGGAGAGACAGGCCACAGGCTGATATCCCATTGCCAAGGAAGACTGTCCTTCGCAGTTGTGCCTGGTGGAGCCTGAGACCTGACCCACTGAGGGTTCTGGATCCAAGTAATAGGAGAAGCTCCAAGTCTCTACAAGTAGGCCTAGCAGAGCTGGCTGAGTCAGCACCCCACAGTGACACTGTCTTTTGTTTTAAGACAAGGTCTCACTCTGTAGTCCAGGCTGGAGTGCGGTGGTGCAATCTTGGCTCACTGCAGCCTCAACCTCCCAGGCACAAGCAATCCTCCCACCTCAGCCTCCCAAGTAGCTTGTAGAAATGGGGTTTCACCATGTTGCCCAGGCTGGTCTTGAACTCCTGAGCTCAAGCGACCCTCTTGCCTCAGCCCCCAAAGTGTTGGGATTACACGAGTGAGACCCCACGCCCAGCTGACACTATCTTCATAAACCTCAGGCTCCTGCCCCCTTGTGCCCCATGGCCAAGGAGAACTAATCCGTGGCTGCAGGCCAGGAGAGGCTGAGCACTAATCCCAGTGAGAAGCCCAGGCCTGAATGTGAGAAAAGGCCCCACCCTGGCTGTGGGGCATGTCTCCAGCCACGCCTATGTCCCACATCCAGCTCTGCTCACCTTCTGCTCCTCTGGCACCTGGATTTTCCTCGCCTTCTTCATGATTGGCTGGGGCTTAAGTTCCTCCTCTGAGAAGCGGTGTCTTCGAGGGTCAAAGGTCTCATGGCCAGGAATGCTTGATAGGGCAAGATCAGCTGGGTCGGGTTCAAAGGTCATCAGCACCTCCACGGTGTCTGGGTCCACAGGGCTGGGTGTGTCCCGAGAGGTCAGGCCTTGGAGAAACAGCACGTGTCAGCTGAGTGTGTATTTTAGGGAAGGGGTTTCCAGAAGCTACCTCTTGCTCTGGTATCATAGCCACATGGAGAGCCCTTCTGAGATCTAGCATAAATTTGGCCAGGGACTAATCTCCCTAATATAAAATATGAAGGTTCCCTCGCACACCGATAACCCTAGCACTTTGGGAAGCCGAGGCGGCAAATCACCTGAGGTCAGGAGTTTGAGACCAGCATGGCCAACATGGCAAAGCCTCATCTTCACTAAAAGTATGAAAATTGGCCAGGTGCAGTGGCGGGTGCCTGTAAGCCCAGCTACTAGGGAGGCTGAGGCTGGAGAATTACTTGAACCCGGGAGGTGGAGGTTGCAGTGAGCCGAGATCACACCACCGCACTCCAGCCTCGACAACAGAGCAAGACTCCGTCTCCAAAATAACAAGAAAAATGAAAGTTCCCCTAAGCCATAAAGATGCTTAGAGATCATGGAGCCATATCCACCTTTACAAACAAGGAAACTGAGGCCGGGCGCGGTGGCTCAAGCCTGTAATCCCAGCACTTTGGGAGGCCGAGACGCGCGGATCACGAGGTCGGGAGATCGAGACCATCCTGGCTAACATGGTGAAACCCCGTCTCTACTAAAAAAATACAAAAAAAAAAAAAAACTAGCCGGGCGAGGTGGCGGGCGCCTGTAGTCCCAGCTACTGGGGAGGCTGAGGCAGGAGAATGGCGTAAACCCGGGAGGCGGAGCTTGCAGTGAGCTGAGATCCGGCCACTGCACTCCAGCCTGGGCGGCAGAGCGAGACTCCGTCTCCAAAAAAAAAAAAACAAGGAAACTGAGTCCCAGTCATAACTGACTTGCCCTAGATAGCACATGAATCAGGGCTATTGCTTCTACACTTAATCTTAGCCAAAAGGCCAAGAAGCGATGGAGCTATTGCTTCTAAAACCTCAGAACTTCAGATGCACAGTCTAGCCTGAATCCTACTTACCGAATCCACCACCTAAGCTTAGACCCCAGATTGTCCAGAGAAAAATAATCTACTGCACTGAAAAGCTCTCAAGTTACAGTCTAAGAGCTACTCGCTGAGAAGAGTAAGGGAAGAGAAGAGGAGAAGCTGCTCTAAGATTCCAGAAGATTGGTTCGAAAGGAGGCGCCTGTACCTTTAAGCACCAGCCAGCCGGGGCCAGCTAAGGACACAGGTTCAGGGCCGAGTCACGTGCTGACGCCTGCTTCCCTCCTCCTCCCTCCCTCCCAGGCCCCCCTGCCATCAGCGCCCTCACGTTCCCCGGCCCCGCCCCCTCGCGCGTGAAGGCGCCTGCGCGAAGCGCGGAGGAGGGAGGGGAGACTCACGTGGCGCAGGAATGTGCGGCTGGGAAGGGTAGGGCCCTGGTTCGGCCCGGAGGTCGGACCTGGGGCAGGTGTGCCCAGGAATTCCCAAACTGTAGTCCGTCCCTGGAGACCTCAATATGCCCAAAGGGAAACATCTTTCCTCTTGCTCTTCCAGTCACTTAGCTCCAACATCTCACCCCCCAAAGATCCCAATCCCCTGCTCTCCAGGGAGCATCGGCCTCCTGGACCTTCCCAGGCCCCCCGCCACTGGGGTACACACGATTCCGGGATCCCACGCCTCTCCTAGGAATATAGGAAGCTTGGTCCTAGCCCCAGTTGGAGAATCCAGAAACAAGATCCCTAACGTCTTCCCTTCTGAAGAACTCTGGGACCTGGGGCTGCAGCACGCCCCACTGGGGGACCCAAGAACTGGGCTGCCAGTCTCTTATGTCCTGGGTAAACAGAATTCTGCGCCCCTCCTTTGCTCCTGTAAAGGACCTAGGGGCTCCAGTTCTATCCCAGTTCCATCGATTATGGGTCCAGATTCTGGGGTCAGTCCACTGCCCAGTAAATAACTCTGGTGTTCCGGACTTCCAGTTCTGGCTTCACGAGTATCCACATCCTTTGTCCCCACGTCCCACAGAAAAACCCACAAAATCTCATTGGGCAGGCTTCCTGGAATTTAGGGTTCCAAGTCTCTCCTCCCCTATGGAGCCAGAAGACCAAGTTCCTGACCCATTAAGAGACACAGAATCTGGCCCCCTCCCACGACACCGCTCGACAACTGGACACAAAATTCGGGGCCGCAGCCCGGTCCCACGGTCCCAGCCCCCAGCGTCGCACAGCCCCGCCCCCTGAGTCCAAGCCCCGCCCCGTCAGGACCCGCCCCGCCCCCTTCGCCGCACCTGCGCGGTGGCCGCTGGCGGCCCCGAGGGCAGCCCGGGCGGGGGCGTGCCCAGGAGAGGAGCGGGGGGAAGCGGAGCCGCACGAGCCCGGCCCTGGGGAGGGTGCGGGCGTCCGCGCGGGCGACGGCTCCGGCGATGGGCCACCGGGGGGCGGCGGGCTGGGCGGGAGCCCGTGCTCCAGCAGGAAGGCGTCCAGGTCCACGTACTCCACATCGCCGAACGGCAGCGTGCGCTCCCAAAGCAGTGGCGCCAACAGACCCGGGGCGGAAACTGGCCCCGGGCGCCCCCGCGGGGACCCGCCGCCCACCACCGCCCCAGCCGGGGCATCCGCTGGGCCCGCAGTCTCCAGGCCTGGCCCAGGGGTTGTGGCTGCGGGCAGGGCCGCCTTGCGCTCCTTTTCCTTCAGGAGACCTGCGGGCCGGGAAAGACGGGTTGGGATGGCGGGGGGGTGGAGATAGAGATGGGAGAAGAGACCCCGAGTCCGAGAGGCACAGGGCGGAGATCCAGAGAAAGAGGGGATGGGGAGTCGGAGAGGAGAGACGGGAAATGAAGGGACGGAGACGCAGAGTGGGAGAGAGACCCAGAAAGAACGGAGACGGGGGTGGCAGAGACAGGTGGACAGATTCACAGAGATGGGGACAGAATGCCGGGAAGGGATTGAGACACAGAAAGACAGCGACCCAGAGAAAGAGGGACGGAAGTTCAGGAATAGGGGGGCAGGGAGAGGGTAGGTGGAGGGTTGGGCAGGTGAGAGAAAAAAATGACAGCTCTGTAATTCCACTGTAATTACCCAACCCCATCCCCTGCGCGCTGTACCCCCTTCCCCCTCCCCCACCATCTGTAAGGGACAGGAAGGGGCTCTATTCCTGGGGCACATTCCTCATCCCTAGACTCCATGTGACCCCATGACGCCCCGCCCAAGCCCGTGTCACCACCGTGTGAGCACCCGACACACCCCCTCCCTGGGACCCCAGGGGTCCAGACTCCCGGACCAAAGGAAGAGGAGGCTGGGGCCTACACTCCTGTGAACCGAGGGAGGAAGACTTTGGGGACCTTAGGGTGGACGGGCTTCAGAGCTGCCGCTTTTGGGTCCTGGGCGCTGAGGGATCTAGGGGCCTAAACACCCGAATAATTGAGTAGATTAAGGTTGGGAAGATGGACTCCCCCCACACAGGAGGTGTCTATGGGCCCCCACCCCCCAACCAACGGCATTTGAGGCCTTAAGGGGGTGGGGTGTCCGAACTGGGTGAGATGGGGGTTAGAACTCACAGCTGGCCGGCTCTTTGGGCTTGCTGGTCCCCTGCAGAAGGCTCCGCAGCCCAAGCAGCGCTCCCCCGCCAGGGGGTGTCCCGACCGGGCCGCCCAGCAGCAGAGGGGCCGGGGTCCTGTCGCTCACAGGCCGCGCCATCGCCTGGCACCTGCCCCCAGGCTCACGGGTTCATGGAGAGGCGAAGGGCTGGCCTGCCAGTCACCGGCACACTCCAGTGGTTTGGACGACTGTCTGCCCAGGGGCGGGCGAGTGTAGCCTGCAACCCTCCAGTATCCAGAACGCTGCAAATCCTAGGAGCGACAGGAATTTGAGGTCCTCGGTGCAGAAACGTGCAACTCAAAAGGGTCCCGGGAGATCATGCAGTCTGGGCGAGGGGGTGTCCAAATCAAGCGGCCGGCCCTTTGCAACCGAGGGTGAGAGGGGACCCTAGGCGCCCCTTCTACAAGGTGGGCGAGCCTGGCTCTTGCAAAATCTGCAGCTCTCGCAACGGAAGGCGCTTTGCAATCTGCACCGAGAGGTGTGCGCGGAGGGGCGGAGGAGGGGGCAGGAGGAGGCGGCCGCCTTGAGGCGTGGCCAAAGCAAACTTCTTTCGCGGAAAAAAAATCTAAACCAAAACACCCGACGCCACAGCGCGCGCCCCTCCTCCGGGTCCCCGCCCGGCGCGTCCAGCCCCGCCCGCCTCTGTGGGCATGCACCCCAGCCGCGTGCCTCCCTCCGGCTGCAAACACAGGCCAATCGTCTCCGACCCCTTGAGACGCACAGCCAATGGGGCCTCTGGATACGCCAGGGCCCAGGAGGGCGCGTGAGGGGCTCAGCGCGTGAAGTTGCCTTGCCTTTCGGTGGGAGGCGGGACACTGACCTACATTTGCCCAATGGGAGGCGGTACTGGGGGCGGGACCGTGACCCAGTTTGGGCCAATGAAGCAGGCGGGAGGGGGAAGCACATGGCTCTGCTCGTGCTGCCTGGTGGTAAGGGGTGTGATGGGGGAAGAGGGGCGCCGCTTAAAGGGGCCGCGGTCCTAATGATGGTTTTGAGAAGCAGGAAGCCAAAATGCCGAGTAGCGGGGGCTTAAAAAGAGGAAGATTGGTTTCCGGAAGAAGTCTGTTCTTTAATACCCAAATGTTTCCCCACCGCGCCTAGAATGAGACCACTGAGAAACAAGAAGAGTTCTGTCCCTTTAATAGCTTTGTTTTAGGAGTAACTCCCCTAGCCTTGTGGGGAGGCTTAGGACGGGCGGGTGCAATACTCGAAGGGGAGTCTCAGCGACCATGGGGGGCACCATCCACTGTAAGACAGAGAACAACGGCAGGCGTCAGTTTAGGATGGAAGGGGCAGGGGGCGTGCAGGGGGCGTGGGCTGGGCCGCGCAGGGCTCTACCATCGGAAGTCTGTGAGCGGGGAACCGGAATGTACCAGGTCGAGAAGCACTGGGCTGAACCACAAGAAGCCAACAGGAGGGGGGAATCGGGATGTCCAGATTCAGCATTAGGCTGAACTACCTGAAGGTCTTCATGGGGGGTGTGGACTGTACCATGTTGCGAAGCCGGGGGGTGTGAGATCCCTGGGCTGAACCACAGGGAGGCAGTTGTAGATTCTCAGTAAGGGGGAAAGGAGCATCAGATTGTGGAACAGCGTAGAGTAGTACGACTTGGAAAGGGAGAGAGGATCCAAATTGTACCATTTTGGAAATTCACAGTAATAGGAAGCACAGAACAGTAGGTAATCGCACCATAGGAAGGCAGGGGTCAAGGGTTATAGACCAAGTTACAAAGCAGTGAAGAGGAAAGACAAATCGTGGGACAGCAATGACCTAGGGCTGGAAGGTGGACTGTGCCACGTTGATATGTAGGGAGAGAGAGAAAAAGAGACAGCTCAGGAGGCTACACCATACAGACGCAGGAAGGGGGATGGGACTGAATCACATGGAGACACCAAGGGGAGACACATATAAGCGGGTTAGCCCACGACATAGAGCGGGTGCAGACTGGACCATACCATGCAGGCGGTAGTTGGGGCCTCGGCAGCGCCTCTCGGGGTGCCGGGGGTCCCTGTTGCCCCTCAGTGCCCTGTGGGCCAAAGGCTGCAGGGGCCGGCCATTACCGCTGAGGCTCTGGAATATCTGGGATGGAGGATTCTGGCTCAGGAGTCTCAGGGAGTGCATCTGCCATAGAAGGAGGGTGGGAAACTGGGAGTGAATAGTGAACGGTCTTGGTGACGTCACGTGGGAAATCCCGCCCCTGGGAGCAGGTGGGCGGGGCCTGTTATCAGCCCCACCCCACCCCCAAAGGTGGTCTGAGCCTCTTACCTCCTTAAATTCAGTCTATGAGGAGAGGGAGGGCAGGTGAACAAGGGGATACCCAGGCCAGTGAGTGGAGTACCCAGGCCTAGGAAGGGCGGTGCGGACAGAGGGTCACCTGGAGGGAGGTGATATTGAGGGCCCGGTCGATGAGGATCCAGGTGACAGTCTCGGAGCAGGGCGGGGTGCTGAGAGAGCCCTGATAGGTGATAAAGCCGAAGGACTCTGGGAACAGGAGCTCCAGGCTCAGGTCTTGAAGAAAGTAGGCGTCATCTGCAGGAATATCAGGCCAGAGTAAGGAGGGCGGCACTCTTGAACACCCCCTCGTGTGTGACCACTGGCCCCAGTACGCCAGGGACTTACTCTTGTAGGAGATGCGGGTGATGGTGTCGCGGTTAAGGAGACGACTGAGGAATGGGTTAGAACTACCAGCCACCTGTGTGGGGGTACAAGGTGAGGACACAGGAGCCCAGAAGTCCAAGCCCTCAACCGTCTGCTCCCCCAGGACCCAGGAGTCTGGGCCTCCCAGCACCCCTCTTCCCTCAGACCCCGGGTTCCAGGCACCCAAGTGCTCCCTCCCTCCGAATCTCGCCTCCGCTCACGTTGACAAAGAGGCTGAGAATGGCCAGGCCATTGGGGCTTCGGGAGGCAGCGCTGAAATTCCCGTAGAGTTCCTGGTTGAAGTGAATGAGCTGCACCTGGGGTTAGCACAGAGCATGGGGTCCCCCAGCAGAAGGGGAGGAGAGGATAACCCCAGCTTTGGGGGCCCGAATCAGGCTGAGGATTAGTGCTTAGGGTGGGAGGTCAGTTCTGTGGAGGAGGATGGGGTGAGGCATTACGAGGGTGAGGTGGGAGGAACTGGGGTGACTCAGGTTCGCCGGTAAACAATCAGTGGTCACTACCTCAGCAGAGAAGCCCTGGTGGTTGATCTGATGTTCGGAGCCGGCTCCGTCGCGAGCTCCAAACAGCAGCCGCAGTTCACTGAGTCGGTGGCTATAAAGGAGGGGACCCCCAGACACATTGACCACAGGTCGGGGTGCAGGCAGGAAGGAGACATGTCTGCCGGTGTTGTACAAGGTTCCCCGGAGCTGTGGGAGAGGCAGGAGCTGTCAGGGGGCAGGGAGAAATCTTTTCTTTCCCGTTTCCCACGCTTACATTTTCTGATTACAACAGTCTTTTTTTTTTTTGAAACGGAGTCTCGTTCTTGTTGCCCAGGCTGGAGTGCAATGGTGCGATCTGGGCTCACTGCAACATCTGCCTCCTGGGTTCAAGCGATTCTCCTGCCTCAGCCTCCCGAGTAGCTGGGATTACAGGCATGCACCACCATGCCCGGGTAATTTTGTATTGTTAGTAGAGACAAGGTTTCTCCATGTTGGTCAGGCTGGTCTCAAACTCCCGACCTCAGGTGATCCACCCGTGTCAGCCTTCCAAAGGGCTGGGATTACAGACACTGAGCCACCGCGCCCGGTCTTTTTTTTTTTTTTTTTTTTTTCAAATAGAATCTTGCTCTGTTGCCGAGGCTGGAATATAGTGGCAGGATCTTGGCTCACTGCAACCTCTGACTCCTGGGTTCAAATGATTCTCCTCCCTCAGGCTCCCGAATAACTGGGACTACAGGTGTGTGCCACCACACCCAGCTAATTTTTGTATTTTTAGTAGAGATGGGTTTTCACCGTGTTGGCCAGGCTGGTCTTGAACTCCTGACCTCAGGTGTTCCACCCACCTTGGCCTCCCAAAGTGCTGGTGTTACAGGCGTGAGCCACCGTGCCTGGCCTCCAACAGTCATTTAATCATTCAACGTAATTTGAACACTGACCACTTTTCAGGCTCTGTGCCAGTCTGTAAGTTGGTGCCCAATATTGGTGAATTTCTTTGATCAACAAATATTGACTGAGCTGGTGCTATGTGCTGTGGATACAAGAATAGAGCAATAGGCCAGGCGCAGTGGCTTATGCCTGTAATCCCAGCACTTTGGGAGGCCGAGGCAGGTGGATCACCTGAGGTCGGGAGTTCAAGACCAGCCTGACCAACAGGCTCTACTAAAAAAAATACAAAATTAGCCAGGGTGGTGGTGCACGCCTGTAATCCCAGCTACTTGGGAGGCTGAGGCTGGAGAATCGCTTGAACCTGGGAGGCGGAGGTTGCGGTGAGCCGAGATCGCACCATTGCACTCCAGCCTGGGCAACAAGAGTGAAACTCTGTCTCAAAAAAAAAAAAAAAGACTAGAGCAATAAACAAGTAGACAAAACTCATGGGCCTCATGGAGCTTATGTTCTAATGAAGGCAAGAGAGACAATTGTGAATCACATAAGTAACTGCTTCATTAACTACATCCTGAGGTCATGCTTGGGGGAACTGGGAGCTCTGAGGTGTCATGAGGAGCTCAGCTTAGATGGGGGGGGGGGGTGTCAGGAAAAATTTCCCTGTGAAGGTGACATTTTATTTTTTTTATTATTATTTTGAGACAAAGTCTCACTCTGTCACCTAGGCTGGATTGCAGTGGCACCATCACAGCTTACTGCAGCCTCAAACTCCTGGGCTCAAACGATCTTCCTGCCTCAGTCTCCCAAGTAGCTGGGACCACAGTCACATACCACCATGCCCAACTAATTTTCAATTTTCAATTTTTTTTTTTTTTGGTAGAGAGGGTTCTCCCTGTGTTGCCTAGGCTGGTCTTAAATTCCTGGGCTCAAGTCATCATCCTGCCTTAGCCTCCAAAAAATAATGGAATTATAGGCATGAACCACTGCACCTGGCCAAAGGTGACATTTTAATGGGGACCTGAAGGATAAGCAGAGGTGACTTGCAAAAGAACAGAGAGAAGGGCATTCCGAGAAGCGAGAACAGCAGTGCAAAGGCCCTGAGGTGGCCTGTTTGAGTAACAGCAAAGAGATTTCACCGAAGTCCAGTGAACGGAGGAGAGAGAAGTTATGGGGGCTGAATGGTGCAGGACCTTGTGGAAAACAGTAAAGAGTTTTGCATTTTTATTTAGATAAACTGCATATATAGGCTGGATGTGTTGGCTCATGCCTGTAATCCCAGCACTTTGGGGAGGCTGAGGTGGGCAGATCACCTGAGGTCAGGAGTTTGAGAACAACCTGGCCAACATGGCCATCTCTACTAAAAATACAAAAATCAGCTGGGTGTGGTGGTAGCGCCTGTAATCCCAGCTATTTGGGAGGCTGAGGCAGGAGAATCGCTTGAACCCAGGAGGCGGAGGTTGCAGTGAGCCTAGATCATGTCACTGAATTCCAGCCTGGGTGACAGAGTGAGACGCTGTCTCCAAAAAAAAAAAAAAAAGGCCGGGCACGGTGGCTCAAGCCTGTAATCCCAGCACTTTGGGAGGCCGAGACAGGCGGATCACGAGGTCAGGAGATCGAGACCATCCTGGCTAACACGGTGAAACTCCATCTCTACTAAAAAATACAAAAACACTAGCCAGGCAAGGTGGCAGGCGCCTGTAGTCCCAGCTACTCAGGAGGCTAAGGCAGGAGAATGGCGTAAACCTGGGAGGCGGAGCTTGCAGTGAGCTGAGATCCGGCCACTGCACTCCAGCCTGGGCGATAGAGAGAGACTCCGTCACAAAAAAAACAAAAACAAAAACAAAAACAAAAAAAAAACCAGAAAACAAGACAACAACAACAACAAAAATAAATAAATAAATAAATAAATAAATAAATAAATAGGCTGGGCACAGTGGCTCACTCCTGTAATCCCAGCACTTTGGGAGGCCAAGGTGGGCAGATCACGAGGTCAAGAGATCAAGACCATCCTGACCAACATGGTAAAACCCCATCTCTACTAAAAATACAAAGATAAGCCAGGTGCAGTAGCTCGCACCTGTAATCCCAGCACTTTGGGAGGCTGAGGCAGGTGGATCACAAGGTCAAGAGATCAAGACCGTCCTGGCCAACATGGTGAAGCCCGGTCTGCACTAAAAATACAAAAGTTAGCCGGGTGTGGTGGCATATGCCTGTAGTCCCAGCTACTTGGGAGGCTGAGGCAGGACAATTGCTCGAACCCGGGAGGCAGAGGTTGCCGTGAGCCAAGATCAGGCCACTGCACTCCAGCCTGGGCAACAGAGCGGGACTCCAACTCAAATAAATAAATAAAAATAAACAAATAAATAAACTGCATATATATAACACATTTGCCAGAGTGCCAAACATACAGTAAGTGCTACGTAAATGTTTGCTATTATTACATATCCTAATAGGAGGATTGTGAGCAGGAGTGATATGATCTCATTTGTGTTTTAAACGTCTCTCTAGCTGTGGGGTGGAGAATGGATTGCAGGGAGTAGAGAGGCAGGCCAATGAGGAGGCTACGCCACCAGTCTGGGTGAGAGATTATGGTGCCTGCATGAGACTGGGGGCAGTAGAGGGCGTGATAGGTGAAAGGACTTAAATAATATTTAGTAGCAAGGCTAGAAAGAACATGGATTGGAAATGGATGTGAGGGAGAGAGGATGGGATGGGAAATGGCTTTAAAGCTTTTGGCTGGGGCAGCTAAATGAAAGGTAATCCCGGTTCTTATAAGAAATTATATTGGCCAGGCACGGTGGATCACGGCTGTAATTCCAGCACCTTGGGAAACCAAGGCAGGAGGATCGCTTGAGCCCAGGAGTTCAAGACCAGCCTGGACAACATAGTGAGACCCCACATCTACAAAAAACTTAGCCAGGCATACTGGCATACATCTGCAGTCCTGACTTCTTTTTTCTTTTCTTTTCGTCTTTTCTTTTCTTTCTTTCTTTTTCTTTCTTTCTCTCTCCTTGTTTTCTTTCTTTCATCTTTCTCTCTTTTCTTTCTTTTTCTCTCTCTCTTTCTTTTCTTTCTTTGTCTCTCTCCTTCCTTCCTTCGTTCCTTTTTCCTTCTTTCTTTTCCCTCTCTCTCTGTCTCTCTGTCTCTCCCTCTTTCTATTTTTCTGAGACGGAGTCTTGTTCTGTCGCCCAAGCTGGAGTCCAGTGGCGGGATGTCGGATCACTGCAACCTCTGCCTCCCGGGTTGAAGCGATTCTCCTGCCTCAGCCTCTCCAGTAGCTGGGATTACAGGTGCGCGCCACCACACCCGGCTAATTTTTGTATTTTTAGTAGAGACAGGGTTTCACCATGTTGGCCAAGCTAGTTTCGAAACCTCATGATCTGCCCACCTCAGCCTCCTGAAGTGCTGGGGTTACAGGTGTGAGCCACCACACACGGGCATGTCCTAGCTACTTTTGAGGTTGAGGTAGGAAGATCACTTGGGCCCAGGAATTTGAGGTTACAGTGAGCTATCATTGGGCCACTGCATTCCAACCTGGGCCACAGAGTGAGATGCCAATTCCAAAAAAAAAAAAGTATGGTTCCCAGCATGGTATTGGAAAGCAGGTCCCACCATTCATGCTACACTGCCTGGTTTGAATGCCAGTGCTGGCTCTCTGTGTGATCCTAGGCACGTAACTTAACCTCTGTGTGTCAGTTTCTGCATGTATATGATAAGGTTAATAACTGTACCCATTCTGGCTGGACGCGGTGGCTCATGCCTGTAATCCCAGCACTTTGGGAGGCCAAGGCAGATGGATCACCTGAGGTCGGGAGTTCAAGACCAGCCTGACCAACATGGAAAAACCCCATCTCTACTAAAAATACAAAAAATTAGCTGGGCATGGTGGTGCATGCCTGTAATCCCAGCTACTTGGGAGGCTGAGGCAGAAGAATCGCTTGAACCCGGGAGGCAGAGGTTGCGGTGAGCCAAGATCACACCATTGCACTCCAGCCTAGGCAACAAGAGCAAAACTCCATCTCAAAATAATAATAATAATAATAATTGTACCCATTTTGTGGGGTGGTTATGAGATTAGAGGCTCATCAAACTTTTAAATCTGCCTGGCACAGGAAATGTTCTACTTTTCATTGCTTCTGCAGAGATGGGGAGACCAGGGGGCCACGGTTGGGATGGGAAGAATGAATGATCCATTTAACAGTGTAAGCAGCCTTCTCTCCACCCACTGGGTGTCCCCTCCTCCCCCAAGGCTGCTCTCTTACCTCAGCACCCCATTCCCCAGTCTCTACTCATGCCCATCCCCAGTAGATTCGATAGCTCCTCCCTCCAAGCCCCTTACCTTCTCTCCTCCAGTGCTGAGCCTTAATGGGGGCAGAAAGGGGTCATAAAGAACCCTCTTCAGCTCCACATCCACGGGGCTCTGTCGCTTCCCCACCGCACACAGACTCCATGCTGCATTCACCAGGCCCCAGAAAGGAGGCCCTGGGGGTGGGGTCGGAGTAGGAGGACAAGGAGTCAGAAATAGAGACTGGATCCCGGGGCTGGCATCTGCTGAGTGGGCTGTGGTCTGGACTCCCAGATCCCAGGGGAGGAGGGGCTAGGGACCTGGACTCCTGGGTCTGAGGGAGGACTGGGCTCAGATCCAGAATCCTGGGTCCTAGAAGAATCTTGGAATAGTTTCCAAGTTTAGTGGAGACGGGTTTCGCTAAATTGGAAAGGCTGGTCTTGAACTCTGGACCTCAGGTAATCCACCCACCTCGGCCTCCTAAAGTGCTGGGATTACAGGCGTGAGCCACCGCGCCTAGCCGAGCCAACCCATCAAGCCATCGTAGATGGAACTACAACTCCCAGCAGGCCCCAGGGCTACCAGCCTACCCCTCTGCTGCCTACCTACCCCAGAGCCCCATGGGAGTTGTAGTTCTTTTTTATCTCTCTTGTCCCACAACTGTATTATTATTAATGTGTTGGGGAGAGAAGCTGCAAGAGAGGGCTGGACAAGGTGGGGGACGGGGTCACCCAGCCTCCGGTTCCTAGCGGGAGCCAGGACCTTCCTCTCCCGGCAAACACACACATAATCTCCACCCCCACACTTTCCTTCCACTCACTCCCACTCACTACTTGAAATGCGCATGTATAATGTCCCATGGTGAGCCCCTGGGGTTCAGAGGCTGGCCCGACTCCTGAGGGACAGAGAAGGGGGCTGGGACTCCTGGTCCTGAGGGGAGGAGGGAGCTGGGAACCCAGGTTCCTGAGTCTGAAGAAGGAGGCGCCGCGAGGGCCGGACTCCTGGGTCCCCGCCTTGGCGGCACCTGGCACGAAGTTTCCCTGGAGATTATCCTTGTAGCTCCACCAGTCCTCGGGGTCAGGTGCTGGTCCGATGTGAGCTGGGAAGAGAGCAGCATGAATCCCTCTCCTTGGCACCCCCACCTCCAACCTCCCTCGGGGGCTCCTGCCGGGAACCCCAGGTCTTACCTGCTGCCCCCAGTGCAGCCCAGAGTACCAGCGCTCGAGGGGCGCTCAGACGAGCTGCAGCCCCCATCCCCAGGAGGCCTCCGAGGGACCCCTGCCCAACGCCCTGCCCCCCCACTCAGCTCCTCTGTCCCCTCCTTCTGGGACCCTGTCCCTCCAGGACTTCCAGCTTTCCTCTCCTCCCCACAGGGAGTCCCAGTTCCCCAAATGCCAGAGCAGCCAGGGACTGAGACCCCCCCCCCTCTTCAAACCCACTCCTCTCCGTCTCTCTGTGCCTTTCCAATTTCCTCTCCTCTTTTCCCGGAACCCTCGAGTCTCTCTCTAGCTCCTGATCTTCCTACCCCTCTCAGCCTTCTGCTGCCCCCAGGGCTACCTCTTGGTTCCTAACCCACACCCCCTCTCCGTTCTCTTTTCATTAAGCTCTCCCAAGCCACCTAACTCCAGGTCTCCATCCAGCATCTCCTCCTCCTCCCTCTCTCCTTTCCAGCTCCTGCCTCTTCTCCCCTCTCTCCTTCTTCACCTCCTCCCGCCCTCTCTCTGTGTCGGCCTCCAGCTTCGTGCTCTCCCCACCTCCTCCTCTCCTGCCTCTTCTCCCAGTTTCAGTCTCTCTTCTCTCCCGTCCCTTCCTCCCTCCTCCCCCTCCCTCTCTTCCCTCCCGTGGTGTTATTTAATTTTGTTGTTGGGTGTGGGGAGCAGGTGATCTCACAGCAGCAAACACTCCTCGTGTTGGCTGGGGGTGGGGGGTGCGAAAGGGGCAGGATTCGGAAGGAGGCAGGGGGCTTGTCCTCGGTTTCCAGCGGCTCTGGGGCCACGCGGGCGGGGGTGGCCGGGACACCTGGGGCCGCGAGCTGGCTGTTCCCATCCTCCGCAGGAAGGGGAAGGGGGGGCGCTTAAGGTGGAGCTGGGAGAGGCTTCGGAAGTCTCCATGCCGGGGTCACCGGCCTTGGCAGATGCGGGGTCCCCATGCTCGCGGGGACCCAGGTTGGAGCCGCCCCAGCGCCCGCTGTCCCCCTTCCCCGCCCCAGGGCTCCACTGGGTCCTCTGCCTGGGGCTGCCTTAACGGGGCCAGGGGATCCCCCTGGGAGCCTAGAGTGCAGTGAGCGCTGCTCGCCGGGAGGGGGAGGCAGAGACCTGGTGAGGGAGAGAGAGGAAGGGAGGAGGAGCCGGGAGGGCTGAGGCGGAGAGCTGGAGGTGAGGACCCACATCTGCGGAGGCTGGGGACGGGAGGGGAGCCTGAGATGGATACGGAGAGGAAGGGCGGAGGGACAGAGGGTTAAAGAGGCAAGAACAAACCGCCAGGCAGGAGGGAGGAGGAGGGAAAGGAGGAGGAGGTGAAGGAGGAGGAGGAGGTGGAGGACGAGGGGGAGTGGGAGGGGGAGGGGGGAGGGGAAGGGGAAGGAATGAATGAGAGAGATACAGAGACAAAGCGAGACAGACATGGAGACATAGAGACACACACTTAGAGACAGACAGACTCAGAAACTCAGAGACCAGGCAGCAGGTGGGGTGGGGACAGACAGAAAGAGAAAGAACGATTAAAAGACAGAGAGAGACACCAAATTTTTGTATTTGGGAGGAAGAGATGGAGTCATGCTCTGTTGCTCAGGCTGGTCTCAAATTCCTGTCCTCAAGGGATCCTCCTACCTCGGCCCTCCCAAAGCATTGAGATTATAGGCACGAACAACCACACCCAGCCTCAGAGCCACCACATATTATTGTTGTTGTTATTATTTATTATTTTTCACCCCGTCTAATGATAATGAAACTGCTCAATGTCTTCTTTTCTTTTTTGAGACAGGTCTTGCAATGTCACCCGGGCTGGAGAGCAGTAGTGCGATCACGGCTTGATCCAGCCTCGACCTCCTGGGCTTAAACACTCCTTCCACCTCAGACTCCCAAGTAGCTGGGACTACAGGCACGTACCACCATGCCAGACTAATTTTTTAAAATTATTTTTTGTAGAGATGTAGTCTTGCTATGATGCCCAGGCTGGTCTGGAACCCCTGGGTTCAAGGGATCCTCCTGCCTTGGCCTCACAAAGTGCTGGGATTACAGGTATGAGCCACCTTGCCCAGCCTGATACCAAACATTAATGAGACAGACATAGAAAGAGACACACATACATCAGTACAGGTGGAGAGAGACACAAAGAGAGGGGGAGACATAGAAACAGACCGGGCGCGGTGGCTCACACCTGTAATCCCAGCACTCTGGGAGGCCAAGGTGGGCTGATCACTTGGGGCTAGGAGTTTGAGACCAGCCTGGCCAACACTGCCAAACGCCATCTCTACTAAATACATAAAAAATTAGCCGGGCGCGGTGGCTCACGCCTGTAATCCCAGCACTTTGGGTGGTCGAGGTGGGTGGATCACTTGAGGCTAAGAGTTTGAGACCAGCCTGGCCAACTCTGCCAAATGCTCTCTCTACTAAATACATAAAAAATTAGCCGGGCGCGGTGGCTCACGCCTGTAATCCCGGCACTTTGGGTGGTCGAGGTGGGTGGATCACCTGAGGTGGGGAGTTCGAGACCAGCCTGACCAACATGGTGCAACCCAGTTTCTAATAAAAAATACAAAAATTAGCTGGGCATGGTGGCAGGTGCCTGTAATCAGCATCAGGAGTGAGCAGGAGAATGTGAACCAGAAGAGAAGTGCAGGAGCTAGCCTGTGACAATAATCCCAGCTACTCAGGAGGCTGAGACAGGAGAATGGCTTGAAGCAGGCAGGGAGGCTGCAGTGAGCTGAGATCCTGACAGTGCACTCCAGCCTGGGTGACAAGAGTGAGACTCCATTTCAAAAAAAAAAGTAAAAGAAAAAAGAAAGAAACACACAGAGCTAGAGACACAGACCTGGGAACAGGCACACACACACCTATAAATAGAGACACTCGTGCAGAGAAAGACACATCAACAGAGAGGAACAGATGGACAGAGACAGAGAGACCCAGATAGAGGGGAGAGGACCAGAAACAGAGCAACTGACATGATGGGAGAGACTAGAAAGGAATCAGAAAGACAGAGGCATTCAGAGAGAGCGAATTGGGATGGACATTCAAAGACGGATGGAATGTCAAAGACTAGAGATGGAGGCCAGGCACGGTGGCTCAAGCCTGTAATCCCAGCACTTTGGGAGGCCAAGACGGGCGGATCACCAGGTCAGGAGATTGAGACCATCCTGGCCAACACGGTGAAACTCCGTCTCTACTAAAAAAAACACAAAAAAACTAGCCGGGCAAGGTGGTGGGCGCCTGTAGTCCCAGCTACTCGGGAGGCTGAGGCAGGAGAATGGCATGAACCTGGGAGGTGGAGCTTGCAGTGAGCTGAGATCCGGCCACTGCACTCCAGCCTGGGCGACAGAGCAAGACTCCGTCTCAAAAAAAAAAAAAAAACCAAAGACCTAGAGATGGAGAGAGACAGACACCCAGAGAGAGTCAGGGATGGAGAGAGACACAAAGAAAGAACACAAGAAGGAAAGGTACATACTGATAATTTGTTGCTGGCCGGGCTTGGTGGCTCACGCCTGTAATCCCAGCACTTTGGGAGGCTGAGGAGGGAGGATCACTTGCGATCAGGAGTTTGAGACCAGCCTGGGCAACACAGTAAGACCTTGTCTCTATTTTTTATGAAAAAGAAAAAAATAGTTGGGGAATGGCAGCTCACGCCTGTAATTCCAGCACTTTAGGAGGCCGAGGAAGGCAGGTCACTTGAGGTCAGGAGTTCTAGACCAGCCTGGCCAACATGGTAAAACCCCGTCTTATCAAAACTACAAAAATTAGGCCGGGCACAGTGGCTCACGCCTGTAATCCCAGCACTTTGGGAGGCTGAGGTGGGCGGATCACAAGGTCGGGAATTTGAGACTGGCCTCACCAACATGGTGAAACGCGTCTCTACTAAAAATACAAAAATTAGCTGGGCGTGGTGGCGCGCGCCTGTAATCCTGGCTACTCAGGAGGCTGAGGCAGGAGAATCTCTTGAACCCGGGAGGCAGATGTTGCAGTGAGCCGAGACTGCGCCACCGCACTCCAGCCTGAGTGACAGAGCGAGACTCTGTCTCAAAAAAAAAAAACCAAAATTAGCCGGGTGTGGTGGCGCGTGCCTGTAGTCCCAGCTGCTCAGGAGGATGAGGCATGAGAATCACTTGAACTGAGGAAGTGGAGGTTGCAGTGAGCTGAGATCGCAACACTGCCCTCCAGCCTGGGCGAAAGTGTGAGACTGTCTCAAAAACAACAAAACAAAACAAAACAAAAATCTGTTGCTATGTGAAAAATTACCCTAAAACTCAGTGGCTCAAATCGACATTTATTGTATTCACAGTTCCTGAGGGCCAGATATTTGGGAATGGCTTCATTGGGCAGCTCTGGGTCCCTCAGTGAAGCTGTTGGACAGGGCTGCAGTCATCTGGAGTCTTTTATGACCTAGTCTCCCAAAGTCACACACCTTTTATTGCACGCATCAGAAATGAGTCACTAGATCTAGCCTACACTGAAAAGGAAAGACGTTAGGATCCTCTGCTCTTGGGCCGGGTGTGGTGGCTCACGCCTGTAATCCCAGCACTTTGGGAGGCCGAGGCAGGCAGATCACTTGAGGTCAGGAGTTCAAGAGCAGCCTAGCCAATATGGTGAAACCTCGTCTCTATTAAAAATACAAAAATTAGCCAGGTGTGGAGGCGTGCGCCTGTAATCCCAGCTACTCAGGAAGCTGAGGCAGGAGAATCGCTTGAACCTGGGAGGCAGAGGTTGCAGTGAGCTGAGATCGAGCCACTGCACTCCAGCCTGGGCGACAGAACGAGACCCTGTCTCAAAAAAAAAAAAAAAAAAAAAAAAAAAAAAAATTCCTCTGCTCTTGAAAGGAAAAGTATCAGAGCATTTGGGGACTAATTTTCAAACCACCACAGGTGGGGAGAGGAAGAGAGACACAGAGTTGTGGAGAGAAATAGACCCTTAAAGTCTTGGGAGGGGCCGGGTGCAGCGGCTTATATCTGTAATTCCAGTGCTTTGGGAAGCTGAGGCAGGAGGATCACTTGAGCCCAGGAGTTTGAGACCAGCCTGGACAACACAATGAGACCCCATCTCTGCAAAAAATAAATAAATAAATAAATAAATAAATAAATAAATAAATAAATATTTTTTTTTTTTTTTTGAGACAGAGTCTCGCACCATTACCCAGACTGGAGTGCAGTGGTGCGATCTCAGCTCACTGCAACCTCTGCCTCCCGGGTTCAAGCGATTCTCCTGCCTCAGCCTCCCGAGTAGCTAGGATTACAGGAGCCCGCCACCAAGCCTGGCTAATTTTTTGTATTTTTAGTAGAGACAGGGTTTCACTATGTTGGCCAGTCTGGTCTCAAACTCCTGACCTCATGGTCCTTCCACCTTGGTCTCCCAAAATGCTGGGATTACAGGTGTGAGCCACTGTGCCCAGCCTCTGCAAAAAATTTTAAAAACCTAGTCAGGCATGGCAATGCACACTTGTAGTCCCAGCTACTTGGGAGGCTGAGGTGAAAGGATGACTTGAGCTCAGGAGTTCGAGGCTGCAGTGAGCCAAGATCACAGCATTGTACTCTAGCCTGGGCAACAGAGCAAGACACTATCTCCAAAAAAAAAAAAAGTTAAGGATCTTGAGATGCAATCATCCTGCATTATCTGGGTAGACCCTAAATCCGATGACAAGTATCCTTATAAGATAAAAAAAAAAAAAAGCCATAGTGAGATTGGGAGAAGGCCATGTGAAGACGGAGGCAGAGGCTGGAATGAGGCAGCTACAAGCCAAGGAATGCCAGGAGCCACCAGGAGCTGGAAGAGGCGTGCAACATTCGCCCCTG